TGGTGAAACCCTGTCTAGACTAAAATAAAATACAAAAAATTAGCCTGGGTGTGGTGGTGGCAATGCTGTATATTGCCCCAGCCTATTCGAGAGGGTGGAGCAATGAGAATTTGCATGAACCCGGCGAGGACGGAGGTCTGCACGGTGAAATCGAGGTTGTGCCACTGCACTGCCAATCTGGGTGACAGGGCAAGACTGTCCTCAAAGAAAAAAATAAAAAAAGAAACTATGGAATTGCTAGGCCAATAGTCCTCTCTATCCCTAAGTAAACGTGTTTTTGGTAGTAAAAATCAGATAATGAATCCATTCGCTATTACGATGTTTTTGAGGTTTCTATTTGACAATGTTGGAGTCTTATCATTTAGATTTCAATCCTTTTATTTTTAGTTTTAAGACGGGGCCCTCTGCGTGGCCTCTCAAAGTACTGAGATTACAGGTGTGAGCCACCACACCTGACCACTTTCGACACTTATATTGTTGGGGTGAAACTGAAACATATGAGGATTTGTTCAAAGTATATGTAGAGAAGGCAAAATTCCACACTGATTCTTCCTGCCTTGGACTAGATGTGTTGTGCAGAGTGAGGGTGGAAAATGAGCCAGTGGTCCTGAACTAATAAATAAGTCTCCCTGGGGCACAGGTATTTGGCTTCCCATTCCACAGGATGGGGTAGATGTGGCTTATGGAACCAAGATTATTCACAAAGAGGTTGTTCTCCTGCATGTAAAGGCTGGAAGAACCGTGTACTTGGATGTGTCTGCACGGGAGGGGGCACAGGCTAGGCTGGTGGGCCTGGGAGGTGGGGGAGGTGGGGAAAGAGGCCGTCTGGCAGGTGCTGAACATTTGACATCGTGGGACACTTTGCAGAGGAAGCTAACATGGTTTCGAGGAGACACTTAGGAGCTGGTCACAACGGGTGAGTCATAAAGAGAAAGCTGGAGCTGGGGGATGCTGGAGGGAGATGAAAGGAAGGCTGATTCACAGAACCCAGGCTGGACAGCACTCATTTTCAGAACCCAGGCTGGACGGGACTTGTGGCGAGCAGTCCAGCACAGCCTCACAGTGCGGAGCGTGAGCTGTGGAACCTGCCCTTACCCTAGCTTTGCAACCTTAAGTGAGTCTCATAGCTTCTCATGTATAAACTGCTCATCATAATGGTTCTGACCTCAGTGGTTTGTTGTGTTATAGGAAATGATGACAGTGAATGCATAGTCGCAGCTTCAGCACAGGGCAGCCACCTTGAAGCTCTCAAATATCACGGTTGTGAATACAGAGAAGGAAAACCAACTGTAACGTGCTACCCAAATATAAGTTTTACTCATATTTTGATGTTAGGATGGACAGCTTGCAAAAAGTTGGAGGGTATGGCCTTTATTATGAGGCATCTATGAAGAATCAGGAATGGATGTAGACAAGGAACTAGTAATGGAAACTGTTAAAGCTGGAGCCCCTGGAAAACCAGAAATGAGGCTGGGCTCTCAGGAAGAAACAAATGAAGGTGATGCTAATGGTAAGTAGGGGAGCAAAGAGGGTTGCCTTAAAGACCTATGCAGTTAGGGAGTGGGTAGCGTGTTGAACCAGGAAGGGGAAAGTTGCGGTTTAAGAACATGCATACAGAAGATGCATGTAACTACACGCTGTTTGTCCTTCTGTTGAATGAGTTATTCAGATCAGTACCCCATTCATCAGACTTCATTCGTGGTCTCTAAGAGTGACATCAGTCTTCCTTGGAATATGATGAGAATTTATTTGGTTCTTCTTTTGCTTTTCTATTTGATTTATTTTATGTTATTTGGTACAGAAAGTTCATTACAAGTCCTGTCCAGCAATGTGCCTCTCCTGGCCCTAGAGTTCTTGGACACAGTCCAGGCCAAAGAGAAGGCCTTTCTCCCCATGGTCAGCCACACGTTCCACATGCCCACAGAAGAGTCTGGTGCTCCACAGGAGGGTGATGACCTACCGAAGTCCTCAGCAAACACCAGCCATCCCACAGCAGGGTGACATCCCAAGTCCCCAGAAGCAAACATCCGCCCACGGAGGGTGACATCTGCCGATCCCAGAAGAAACCAACCAACTCCCAAGAAGGACGACCTCCCCAAAAGTCTCAGAAGAAGTCAATCAAACCAAAGAGGGTGCAGCTCCCCAACAAGTCCTCAGCAAACCTATCCAGTCCAAGCGTGGCATATTCCAAGTCCTCAATCGAACGCCCATCCAGCGACAGATGGTGACCATCCCCAAGTCCCCAGCAAGAAAGCTCCGCCAAGGAGGATGCTCCCCCAGTCCCAGAAGAAGCCTCCCACCAAGGCAGGTGACATCCTCAAGTCCCCAGAAGAAGCCGTCCAGCCCAAGGAGGGTGACATCCCCAAGTCCCCAGAAGAAGCCATCCCACCCAAGGCAGGTGACATCCTCAAGTCCCCAGAAGAAGCCATCCAGCCGAAGGAGGACGACAGCCCCAAGTCCCCAGAAGAAGCCATCCCACCCAAGGAGGATGACATCCTCAAATCCCCAGAAGAAGCCGTCCAGCCGAAGGAGGGTGACATCCCCAAGTCCCCAAGCATCCAGCCCAAGGAGGGTGACATCCCCAAGTCCCCAGAAGAAAGCATCCAGCCGAAGGAGGATGACAGCCCCAAGTCCGTAGAAGAAACCATCGCACCCAAGGAGGGTGACATCCTAAAGCCTGAAGAAGAAACAACGGAGTTCCTGGCGGGGGACAAGGTGAAAGTGATCCTGAGCAAGGAGGACTTTGAGGCATCACTGAAGGAGGCTGGGGAGAGGCTGGTGGCTGTGGACTTCTCGGCCACGTGGTGTGGGCCCTGCAGGACCATCAAACCGTTCTTCCACGCCCTGTCTATGAAGCATGAGGACGTGGTGTTCCTGGAGGTGGACGCTGACGACTGTGAGGAGGTGGTGAGAGACTGCGCCATCATGTGTGTCCCAACCTTTCAGTTTTATAAAAAAGAAGAAAAGGTGGATGAGTTTTGCGGCGCCCTTAAGGAAAAACTTGAAGCAGTCATTGCAGAATTAAAGTAAACATGTATTCTGAAAACACTGCAGACAGTCAGATGTTTACAGCTTTTGAGTTATCTTTTATTATTTACACAAAGCGATCGGGTATAACAAAAGTGTATGTCCAAATGGCACTGCTCATACATGATAATATTAACTCTACCCTTTTCAAAATACAGTCCAAGCATTAAAGTACATTGTGATTGTGTTTCTGTTGGTGGGAGAGTGTAAAATTAGAAATTCCTTTGGTGAAGATTGCTAAGTCCCATGGTCTCCTATTTTTCAATCTTGATATGTATTTATTTTTCACTTGCCTTTGCAAATTCCACGCATTTAGTGTTTGTAGCAAGACTGAAAATTTAGATAATTTTTCTATAGAGGCAGATGACTGCAAAATGAATGGAAACTTCTTTTCTCATGCTCACGTATCTTTGGGGATTCTGATAAGATACATTTGGAAACAAGGAATTTGAAAGATTCACGTCTTAGTTAATCTCCTTCTTCTGCCGGGAGTGCTATGGAGGCCTTGGGAAATCCAGTGGGTTTTCCAAGACCTGATTTGTTGGTGACAGAAGTGAGATCAAGGCCGCTTCCAGATTTCAAGTCCAGGGCTCTACCTACTATAATCTACGCTCACAAAATCGAAGACAAGAGCTCGGAACTTCAGGTTTCTTGGAGGTTGAAGTCCTCCGGATCTTTGCTGCCATTATGACATCAGTGCCCTGATGGCAGAGTTCCTGGTTTGTCTCCGTGGTAACTGGGTTCCTAATACCTAGAACTTCCTCTGACTTTTTTACTTAAATTTGTTCTTATTTTCACTATTGAATAAGCCAGCCTTTAACATGACTGTACCAGCTTAGACATATAGGCCTAGACTTCAATGAATTAACCTAATCACAGTGCTACCAGAGTCTTGTTTGGGCAACTCAGTAAGCCCCAGATGTCTGTGAGCCCAAAGGCCCAGGTGTGAACCATAGATGGAGGCCTTAGTCCGAGTGGGTTTTTTAAAAAATGAATAAAACCAGACTTCATTAGGTATAATTTGTTTTATTAAACACAAAACCCACAGGAACTGCACATATTTAATGGAGGGGGGGAGTTGGAATGGTTTGGACTGTGTTGCATATCCTTGATTACCATCTCCCACTATCAAAGTAAAATCTAACACCTCACCTGCATCCAAGATAGTTCCTTGTGTCTCTGCGTGCTTTATTGATTATTACTATCATGGAAAAAGCATTAACAGCATGTACTCTCCTAACACATTTCTTAAGTGTCCAGCCACTGTAGCGTTAACTACCATGATGCCGAACAGCAGATCCATGGACTTACTCATTGCTGTCTGAATTTAACACCCATGAACAATTCGCCCGTTGCTGATCTGCAGTCACATTCTACTTTGCCTGGTAACAGAGTGTTTTTAAAAATTGGAATTCCTTGCCGAACATTTTCAAACAGTGAAAACGGAATTAAAAAAAAAAAAATCTAGATCGTCTAGTTTTCTTGAAAAAACTGTAAGATCTGACAATCCAGGCTTGCCTTACCTTCAGAAAGACCAATCTAACCTGTGGGTCTGAGTGGCAGCTGCCCCCATCCGATTAGGGCCGCACTCTCATCCATCCCTGCTGCAGAACCAATGTGCGGCTCTTCAACTTAACACCTTGAGTTGCAATCCCTATTGAAGTTCAAGACTGGGATTGGAGTACGTGGTCCACCTGTAATCCAGCACCTTGGGAAGGCCGAGGCCGGTGGATCACCTGAGGTCAGGAGTTCAAGAACTAGCCTGGCCAACATGGTGAAACCGTCTCTAACTAAAAAATACAAACATTAGCTGGGTGTGGGGTGGGTGGCCTGCTAATCCCAGCTACTCAGGAGGCTGAGGCAGGAGAATCACTTCAACCAGGAAGTGGAGCTTCGCAGTGAGCTGATATCATGCCCCTGCACTCCAGCCTGGGTGATAGACCCAGACTGGCTCAAAAAAAAAAACAACAAAAAACAAAAAACGAGAATGCCCCATCTTTTCCCATCTGTGCCTATCCTGACTCTCATTAGTGGTACCTCAGTTACAGGCTTCATTTGCACCCTTAACAATGGCCTAACAACTGCAAACAAAATGAAATATCCTATATGCTTGGCCTTTTTTCCAAAAAAGATTTGGAATTGCCTACAAAAGGATTGATGATAAAGCTAACAAACCAGAAAGAGGAATCAGAGCCGTGAAGGGAGTAACGTGTCAACTCTGTGGGCTCACATCTTGGCTCTGACACAGCAGCAAATTTTGCTCTGAACTCTTGGCAAGTGGGAGAGAAAAGAGAAATTCAATAATACCCAGATGTCATCACCCAAAATAAACAGGCTTAGGAATTCGCAGAACAGTCAAAGCTTTTCCTTGACTAAATTCCTGAATGACATTTCTCATCTGCGACCCTAAGTTTGAGACACTGAATGATGGATGAAGTTCTTGACAAGATTTTTTTACAATAAATTCAGAACAGTTTTTCATGTGGATGTTCTTGGTAAGAATCTTTAGTGAAAGCTGAAGCCATGATGGTAAAGTGCTTTTCGACAAGAGGATTCCGGATTCGAGGTGTGCTGCATGTTCATAGAAATGGGCTTTTAGTGACAGTGCATATATCTACCTGTTATTTCCCTCTGATAGAGAGACATTCTTCTGACTTTTTCAATCAAATTTGTTCTTATTTTCCAAATGAACAAGGTTAGCTTCAACATGACTCTACCAACCTAGACATATAGGCCTAGACTTTAACCAATTAACCCAACCATTGTGCTACCAGAGTCCTGTTTGGATAACTTAGGGAGCCTCCCAACACTTTTAAATTAAATTAAATTAAATTTTGAGACATTTTCTCACTCTGTTGCCCAGGCTGGAGTGCAGTGGCATGATCATAGTTCACTATGGTCTTAGGCTCAAGTGATCCTCCTGCCTCAGCCTCCCAAGTGGCTGAGACTACAGATAAAGCCACCACGCTTGGTTAATTTAAAAATATATGTATTTTTGTAGAGATGGCGTCTTGCCATGTTGCCCAGGCTGGTCTCAGACTCCTAATCTCAAGAGATCCTCCCACCCAGACCTCCCAAAGTGCTGAGATTACAGGCATGAGCCACTGTACCCAGCATCCCACAACACTTTAGAGTGTGCAGTTTTAAGGACCAGGGACCCTGAAATCTAACACTAGTGACTTATACTAACTGCTTTTTCTGGTACCATAATATTAAAGACATTTCTGTCAAAGGTCCCTTTTTATATTTAGGTTACTAAGTGATGTCATTGACAAAGACCTCAAAATATCCTTAAAAATTATTGTGATAGTAGATTCTTAAGACGATTTAATAGAATTCTTAATTAAGTCAAAGGAGGAGGCAAAGCACAGTTCTCTGAAGGCACATTCTGTAGGGCCAAGAAAAAGCATCGCCAGTGTGTGGCTCTCTGATGATCTAGTTTGATCCAGAGATAAAATCTAGACTAGCAGATAATCAATGTATGTCCCTCAAATTACACATTGTGAGAACCACTTACCTCACAATGTGTACATCACAATGTGACTCACACCTGTAATCCCAGCACTTTGGGAAGCCAAGGTGGGTGGATCACCTGAGGTCAGGAGTTTGAGACCAGCCTGGCCAACATGGTGAAACCCCATCTTTACTAAAATACAAAAAAAATTAGGCTGAGCATGGTGGCAAGGACGCCGTAACCAGCACCGTCAGGGAGGGCTAAGGTAGCGAGTATCGCTTGAACCCAGGCAAGGCGGGAGTTTTGCATGTTGAGCCAAGGATTCAAGGCGCCCACGCACTCCAGCCAGGGCAACGGGAGCAAAACTGTATGCTTCAAAAATAATAATATAATTAATTAATAATTAATAATAATAAACCTAAGCGCATTGTTTTCATCTCTAATATTAACTTGTGAAGGACAATGCGAGTTCTAATGAGGAAGATCCCAGATAATCATGTGAGCTAGTGAACATAATAATCCTACCGAGCCTTAAATCAATGGAAAATCCATTTACGATTAACAAGAAACTCAACAAGCTGTCAGTAATTGGTGAGTGTATATCTAAAAATTCAACAGCTTCCGTTGTGATCTGTGGCATAATATTGGGAATCTGTGATGAG